CTAACAATTCCTTTCCCTACAAAGGGACGGTACATTTTCTTTAATGGTTGCGTAAATACAGAGCCTTTTCTTACAGACGGGCGAAGAAAATTGGGATAATTTAAGTTTAGTGGAGCACATTGACCGTTAACAAATTGAAATAATTTTTCTTTAAAAGTTTCATAATGTAATTGTTGGTTGACAGTCACATCCCAATTCAGAGTAATACCTCTCAATTTAATTACATGTTCTAATTCTGCATCTGTATCATTATTTCTTTGAAGTTGAAGTGCATATTGTTTGGCACCAGCTGAACAATATTCTAATATTCTATGACGAGGGTACTCATCAGTAAAGTCGCCCAAGTGCGGACCAAGCTTGAGCGGATTATCTTCTTCAGGGTGAACAAAAATAATTGAATCTGTGTCTGAAATTAAGATTATATTAATGTTAAAAACAATATTTACCTGTGTATAGAAGTTTACACCCTGTACTTCTGACCACCTTTTGCATTGCCTTTAGCAAATAGATTCTCGCCATGGATGTTGTCCATAACGAAATAACTGAATGTTTAACAAAATTTTTAAAAATTTAACTAATACTTACCAACGTTCGAGCATCCGTGTTCTTCCACCCAATCTTTTTTTGTCAAATGGGAGATCAAGATGATGTCAGGAGTCAATTGATCTACAGAAGACACTTCCTTGGTTGAATCATCCACAATTTTTCGCCAGGCTGCAGGGCTGTCTGTGATTGTACACTGACTCAGGCCAAAATTTCTAAGAGAAAAACGACCCCCTAAAATTTAAATTATTATTTTATTAAAATGGAAAAAAAAACTTACAAAGATTATTCAGACACAATTTTGCCTGAGTACGTTTGCCTTTGTTGGGGACCTAAAATTTATATTATTTTTTATAGAATATTATAATTACCATTTTATTTCGATCAATGATGATGTCAAATTTATCCGCGCATTCTTGAATAAATTTCTCTTCGGCCTCCCAATCTCCCTTGATCGAGTTATCAAATCCTGATGAGTGAATTTTCTGACTCATAAACTCTGAGATGTAGCCACGAAACAGACTGTTGTCACTTGAAGTATATTCAAGAACACGAAAAAGCCTTGTCACCTTATAACCACAATCGAGAGCCTCATTAAGCTCTACGGAAGTGCATGTTGAGACCCAGCCGCGTTGATTATCTTCATGCACACATTTATATTCTTCATCTATTCCTCCTTCAGGATGTTCTTTTCTTAAAAATTTTCAAAACTTTAGAATTATTTTTTTAAACTTACGCGCAAGCGATGCAGAGAGGGAATAACAATCTATCATTCGATTTAACAGGTAACACAGGAACATCAATTTTCTTGGGAGGGATAACAAATACCTGTAAAATTTAATTTTCATTCAAAAATTTTTTGTATTACCTTGAGAATAGCCAGTTCATATTTGTTGTCACTTGATTTGGTCCAACACACATTTTCGTTCAATATGTGAGGAATGGGATGACCAGTTGGGTAATTTGTCGTAACATTGATGAACGGATACAATGAAGTTACGTCGTAGTAACTTATTTTCTCACCAGGTTGAGCAGAATAAAACAGTTTAAGCGGACCTGTTCTCCCACCAAAAAATGCTGAGCGGATATCAATCGGACCATTATCCAGGTACTCATCAAAATTCTTCTTCATTTCTTTATCCAACTTCAGCATTGCTTTTATCTCGCATTCCCAGTAAACTTTAACTTCTTGTACTTGAGACTTAATAAAGTTGAGCCTCTTCTTATCCGATTCACGTTGTCGGCCGGCTGTCTTTCCAGAAGGCAATACAATTCCATCGTCCGGGTAACACTTGATGCATGCATGCCAGCAGCACCCATTCACCTCAATTCCCAGTTTTTGATCTTCAACCCACCCGTCTAGACGATAATTCCCAATTCTTAAAAATTATTTTAAAATTGATCTTTTCTAACTTAATTACCTTTTTTCACCATCTACAGAATTAGCCGTTTGAACAATAACTCCGTTTGTTTCACCATACCATTCCAAGAATTTCAATGCTAGTAGACTTTGATTATCTTTGTTGTCGTAGCCCCGTTCTGGTACAATTGCGAGATGATCAGCCTTGAGATGATTGGAACGGAAGTGCTTCATGTAAGCACTTGCGATAGTCATAGACTCACGCAAGACATCGATTCCTTCATTTCCACGTTTTGAAACCTAAAATATTATTTTTTAATTTATAAAAAATTTAACCTCTATGAATTCTTTTCTAAAAGCAACAAGTGCAGCCATTAAGATTTCGACGTCGTTTGTACAATAGGAAGCCAATGATTCATCAAGGTTGAAGGGTTCTAGATGATGTTGGTCATACCACAAATCAAACTTTTTCCTCTTTTCCGGAAGAAAGCCATCTGCCAGATAATCTGCCTTCGTTGGATAGATTTCTTTTCCATAATTGCGTGGATGGTTCGCCAAGTGCGGAAAATATGGCTTGTCTTCAACCTGTAGGCCAAATGCAGGTACGAGTGTTGCAAGACTCATAGGCATTAGGTTGAAGCTGTCCCTGAAGATGATGTCCCCTTTCTTCTTCCCACGTGATGTTACTTTCATTTCATACATCTTGTTGCCTCTTTTTAACATTTCTGGAGTAAAACCTAAAATTTCTATTATTTGATAAAAAATCAATAATAATTACCTTTAAGAAACAATTCTTTGAAGATAAGGACCATATCAAAACGACCACCAAAATGTGAAAAAGCGAATGTATCATGTTCTTGAGGTAAACCGTTAATTATCCATTCAACAAAGGTCTTCAAAGGGTTTTGGCTGATGAACATTTTATCCACGACTGTATTTGTAAATGGACGATGAGAGAAAGTTAAAGTTTTATATTGACCACAAATTTGACATTCTTTTTCCTAAAAAAATTTTTTAAATTAATTAAATTTAAAGTTTACCTCTAAAATACATTCTGGGCATGTAACCTTTGCGCAGATAAAGTTTGCTTCATGTATCTTCCCTTGTTCAGTAGGAAGATATTGTGTGGTTTCGAGATCAAAGGCTATAAATCTGTACTTCTTTACTTCTTTAGGTTCTAGGGTCTTGATGAAACATCCACGTTTCGGATCGTGATAATCATGGCAAGTTGAGCAATGACGTTCGCCGCACACGTGACCCTGACGCCCCCTCTTATTGTTGTCCTTCACATTCCAAATAACGCCACATTCTTGACATTCTTTCGAAATATTGCAGAAGCCACATTTGAGGTGATACTGATAACAGTTGTTATTGTAGAATGTCTTAGAACAATGCTGGCATAATTTGTAGAATCCCTCGATGATTTTGCAGGGGAAGCCGGGACCAACTCTAGAACACCTTTTACACCTAGCTTTACAAGAAATTTTATGTGTCACGTCTCTGTCGTACACCTTTTCACAGTGTAAACAATAGGGCTGTCCAAATAAACCTCCTGTCCTTTTTACTCCATCAAAGTGTTGATTATTGTAGTAGAGTATGATTGCTGTATCAAAATTATCAGGACCACTTTTAAACTCAGGTTCATAGTAACCAAGTGATCCGAAGATGAAGACTTTGAATATGTGTTTTCCAAAATACTTGTTGTTCCAGTAGTTAACAACAATGGGAACCCATTGTTCAGCATTATATTCCTTTAAGTTAGTCGGTGCTCCAATAATATTCATCAATTCTAAAGCATCTTCTCTAAGTTTATTTGCCATTCCATGTTGACTTTTGATGTAACGTGAGAACTTTTCCCAGTGCCAATTAAATACCGTGTGAACAAGTGTAGCTACTAAGGAATAGAATAGACAGAAGGTATTATTGTTGTTTTCGATCTAAAATTAAAAATTATTTTAATAATCCATGATTCATTGCCTATCTAATTAATAATTTTAATTCCCACTTTACTTTAATCAATCTAAAGATGTTTATTTTAATTATTTTTCCTGATTAATCCCACACTTACATATAATTTTTCTTTTATTAAAACATTGATAAACTGACCTTAATCAAAGCTCTTTCATTTATTCGATGACGAACTGGTGCAATTTTTCGATTTCCGGCACCTGGTAGTTGACGTTGTTTAGGTAGGGAGCTTTTGTCAACGACTGTAGCAGTTACAGTGAAGGGTTGTCCCCAAAGTGAGACTTCTTTCTGCCGAAAACTTTGGGCAACCAGGAGAAAACGGTTGAGTATTGATTCAACCGTATTCTCATTTCTATCCCTGAAATAATCGAAATTTTATTAAAGGTTATAACAAATTTAAGGTGACCTGATAGGGATCCAAACATCGTGATCCAGTACAGGGCTACTCACGACGCATCCAATCTGTTCTGCCTTCATTCCTCTATTTACACTAGCTTCCACAGCTTCATTTAAAAAGTATTGAAAAATCCCTGTAATTTTTATTTATTAAATCAAAAAGTTTTAACTTACTGCTCAGAAGCTCCTCAGGGTCCGGAGGCAAGTCCTTGATAAGGAACTTGCTACGGCTTTTCAAAAATTTAAATTTTTTATTTTCTTCAATCGATCCTTCGAGTTGATCAACATAATCTTTTGGTTCTTTTGAAGAACCTGAGCCGCTTTGTAGTCCAAGTAGATTTGTGATGGAAAAAATAGATTGTAGTCCTAAAAGACTTTCAATAGAAAAACGCGATCTTTTTTTCGGTGGTTGTTGATCCATTTTAGAAAAATTATAATAAAGCTAAAAAAATTTATTTAATAAAAAATTATCGATTGTAATAAATTTTAAAAATTACACAAATGACGAGATTATTACATTTTTACGATATTTATAATTAATTATTCTGTCTTTAAACCTCATCTGAAATTTTGGCGGGCTTTTTTTAAAAATAAAGCTGTCACGTCTGTAAGAATTTTATTACTGTAACATCTGTCGACAGATGTGAAAAGATCAAAAGGTGCCGCCATATCCTAGACAATTAATATTTGTAAAATTTTTATTTATGTTTAAATTTCGGGGATCTATTTTTAATTAATGTACCATCTCGTACCATTCACATTTTTCAAATTTCAAGGGAAAATATAAAAGCTTGCAGCTTACTATATTACAGTATTATTTTCCTTCTAATTTTTTTTCGAAACTAGTAACAAGAATGGCAGAGGAATCAAAGCATTATTTAATTGAGGTATTTTTTAAAAAAAAAAGTTTAATATATTATACCAATTATACAAGGGACATGCTAACTACAAAACGTGTACAAGACATAGTTACTTGTCTGCTTTGAATTTATCGTTAAGAAACCGTGAAATATTGGACAAGGGTGCTCGAGCTAGTTTTATCTGGCACTATTTTAATGGATATCACTGGTGCGAGGAATGTTCGAAATTTAATTTGATGAAGAAACAGAAGAAAACCCTTATACCGATAACTGAAAATGTATTTTTTTACTCGTTTTGGTTATGTACGGATTGTGCATTATTTGCTACTGCACCTTAATCATGTTTATTTTCAATATTAAAAGATAAAAATTTGTAAAAAAAAATTAGTGGATATAAGATGACAATTTTGGGGGTATTTTAGCAGAATTAAGAAAAAATATATAATTTTATCCGTATTTTAATGCAAAAAATTAAACATGTAGTGTTGTGTGTGACAATTATTTTATAAGTTTATTAACTACTTTAGTTACAAATAAATCAGGATTTTGAATACTATCTAACATTTTTAAATATTTCTCAAAAGTTAACCCTTGTGATAAAAAATAAGTTAAGGAAATACAATGATGACCACATGTTTTAGAAAGAGGTGATTGATAAGGTTTTAAATTTCTTATAATTTTAGAAAAACATAAGGGTATTGAACTAATTATACATTCACTTGTAGGTAATGTAAGACTATCAAAATAATATAATTTGTTTGAATTAGTAAAAATAGTTATCCAATGGGATCCTTTCATTCCTTCTGGGTCCAGGTTGACAATATAGACAGATTTGGGTAATTTAATATTTGGTATAAAGTTACAAGGGTAGCATCCTTTGAAAATCTCCCTCGTCTCTGGATTTGAGTTCAATATCACAGTTATTTGATGACTGTTCATTTCCTTCTATAAAATAGAAATATTAATTTATATCCATTAATTTTTACCTTTAAACTTTTTTCCGGGTAGTACTACTTTTAACCAAAGAAATGAACGTAATTGATAAATAATTAGGCTAATTACAAATAGAATATACAATCCTATCATTCCCCAACAGAAAATATGACCATATATATTATTCTCGCCAGGGCTTTCCTTACAAAGTTGAATGGTAGGGAAGTTTGGAAAATTTATAGGGATATTAGTCTCAGTTGTATTTCTTTTTGCTAAATATTCTGCGTATTCAGGGAGATTTTCCACCTTTGAAATATCATCTATACTTAGTGATTCAACAAGAGGCGAAAAAATTCGAATAAGAAAAAGTATTATAGATATTTTATTCATTTTAAAATTTTATTACAATAATGAAATCTGAATCTATTTATATAGTAGTGTCACTAGCGATAGTACGATTTTTATCTAAAATAATTAATGAATCTGCTTCTCCCATAGCTACAAGCATAATTCCTCCGTCTGGTACCGGCTGACTAAATTTAATATTCACCGCTGTTGTCCCATTCTTTATCAAATCAAAAAGTCCTCCTTGGTCGTCTCCACTATTGGTTAAGTTGAAGATGTATATGCAATGAGTAATTCCGTACTGCAGATAATTAATTCCATTACTTTCAGAAGAAGTAGCTAATCCAATAGCGTCATTCATGTCGTTGAATGCTCGAACATATTTCCCATTAATATAATCAAAGTCATATGGGGCTTGGGGGTAACTTCGACCGTTTGCAATAATACTAATTTCGCGAACATTAAAGTGTTGAAAGTTGAAAGGACTTCGTCCAAAATTTCCAACATAGTCAGAGTTAGCGACAAGACCAAGTGTTATTCTCCGGGGTATTTGGTCCATAAAGAGATTCGCATTAAATTCATATCTCCCTTGACTAATAAAGAGGGGTTTCATCATAGTCTTCCTTATAGCATAACGCGCGGGTTTAATATCAAGTTTTCGAGCAATATCCAATGCTAGTCCGTCCATAAGATCCATCTTTTTAATATAAAGTTTGCAATTCACAACTTCAAAATAATAACGTGTTGGTTGGGCAATACCAAGAACTGGGGGAGCAATTAAAACAAATTTTGCATCGTTAGGTAAAATTTCAATATCTACTTCGCATTGGTTAATTAAGTAAAGTGGTTGATTAAAAATATCGGCATCGAGTTTTGTTATAAACTGAGCCGTTTTACTTGAAGAGAATAAACTTTTACGAGATTCATAGCCTTCTCCACTTTCTAGAGATACACCAGAATCAAAATAATAGCCAGAAGCATTAAGATGGGAACTTTTTGCTCCTTGGGAATACGATAGCTCGTATGACAAGTAGCTTTTGTAGGCATACAATGAATTTGAATTAAAAATTTCGCGGCCATTTATATTAATTTTCATATTATTTATAAAAGTTTGTCCTATAAGTTGAATTGGTGCAACATTGTCTGTTGCACCCAGATTTACAAGGTAACCGTTTTCATTTTCTTTTCTTATTCTTAACTCAGTAAAAAGGTAGCATTTTGACAAATCAATATAATTCTGGCTTGAATGAATTTTAAAATGGTAGGGTGTATCGGTAAGAGGATTGCTGGGGAGAATTTCAAAAACTTTAGAAGACGTTACAGTGACATTAGTTGGAGGGATTTGAAAGAAGTCAAGTGCACTTGTTATAGAGTTTATACTTTCATTGTCAATTTTTTGAAATGCCATTTTTAATAAAGTCCGAAGGCGTCTGATCTCAAGCGTTTTTTAACTTTTTTGCCAATAATTGTTTGATATGACGGCATAGCATTCCTTTTTATACCCTTCGTACGACCAGTACCAAATTGTTTTGGTAATCCTCCTTTGTCTAAAACATTATCGATTCCCTTCCTTCCCTCTTCCTTTAGAGCTGTCTTAAGTGGCTCTCCCTGATTTACTCTCTCTAATACCCTTTGGCCTGTATTTAGTGCTTCCCCTGCCACTGTAGTACCAGCTTGTTTAATAATTGGGAGGAAAAAACGCCACAGTCCTCTCATTACATCTCCTATTCCTGCACCTCTTTGTGAACTGCCATATCCTCGTTGAAAAGGTGATGATCCTTTGAAATAGTTATATTCATCTGAAATACCACTTCCCCTCATAGGAACAAACTCTTCGTATCCTATAGATCTTGTATCAAAAACTACGTGAACCATTTTGAAAAATTTCATTTAAAATGTTAAATGAAATTTACAATTTTGTGAGTATTTATATACACACGAAAAATGATTTAAAAATTTATAACTTTTTTAAATATCAAAACTATCATCACTGTTCCAAAAGCAAATGGCACAAGTCTTCCCCCATCCATAGTTCTCAATTCAATCTCAATTTCGTTTATTTCTTTGGGAAGCACGCGAATAAAAATAGGTGAATCGTAAATCTTTTCATGATATTCTCCAGGGGTTGCTCCGGAGACAGACACAACTCTCAATAATGAGCTTAGCGAATTTCCTACAATCATATTCTCAGTTAAACCTCTGGAGTAGACAGCAAAACTAGAAAATCCTCCTCTCAAGTCACTTCCATATTTTGCAATCTCCTCATTCATGACCATATTTGTATTTTCAAAACCCAAAACATAACCAAGTTGGGGAGAGAAGGACAGATATTTAATATTTGGATGAGAAAATTCGAGTTTAAATCGTTTAAAATCGTTATGAAAATATAGAGAAATGGAATCTATAATCTGTTTCTGGACAGTAGTGTCAATTTTATCTTTTCTTAAACTACTGTATTTTTTCAGAAGTCCTTCCATCATTGGCAAATAACTTTCTTTTTGAAAATTAGTAGGGGTTTTTCCTAGTACGTAGACAAGAACTCTTTCCATATCGTCTGTCCATTTTATTCTCTCTTGAACGTATGTTTGATTTTGTTTTAATGGAAGAGCTTCGGGGAGGGAAGGAAGAGTTTGGGTAGGTGGAGGTAGTGATTCCTGAGTTTTTTGAGGGGTAATGGGTTTTGGAAGAGGAATTAATTTTTGTGGTGTTGATTTTTGTTGAGGCAAAATTCGAGGAGGTGAAGATGGAGGTTTTTGAGCAGGGGGAGGTGGTTGTGGAGTAGAATGTTTTTGAGGCTGGGGAGGTTGTGGTTTTTGTGGAGTTGAAGATTTTTGAGTAAAAGGTATAGATGGGTGTGTAATAGGAGGTTTTTGAGTAGGAGGAGGTGTAGGAGGTTGTGTAATAGGAGGTTTTTGAGTAGGAGGAGGTGTAGGAGGTTGTGTAATAGGAGGTTTTTGAGTAGGAGGAGGTGGAGGAGGTTGTGTAGTAGGAGGAGGTTGTGTAGTAGGAGGAGGTTGTGTAGTAGGAGGAGGTTGTGTAGTAGGAGGAGGTGGAGGAGGTTGTGTAGTAGGAGGTGGAGGAGGTTGTGTAGTAGGAGGAGGTGGAGGAGGTTGTGTAGTAGGAGGAGGTGGAGGAGGTTGTGTAGTAGACGGTTTTTGAGCAGGAGGAAATGGTAGTTGAGGAGTAGGTTTTTGATTAGTTTGAGGTATAGGTTTTTGTGGAGTAGAAGGTTTTTGAGCAGGAGGTTGAACTGCTGGTTTAGGGGGTGAAGTAGGCGTTTGAATAGGTTGAGGTGGAGGTGGCTGATTAGTAGGTTTTTGAGGTTGAAGTGTTGGTTTAGGGGGTGAAGCAGGCTTTTGAACAGGCGTAGGTGGTTTTGTAGTGGGTTTTTGAGCAGGAGCTGGTGGAGGTGGTAATTGGGGAGTAGGAGTTTTTAGAACAGGAGCAGGTGGTGGTGGTTGTGATTGAGTTTTTTGAATAGGTTGAGGAAGAGGTTTTTGTGGAGTGGAAGATTTTTGGGCAGGAGGAGGTTGAGGGGGTAGTTGAGGACTAGGAGGTTTAGTTTGAGTTAGTGGTTTCTGTGGAGTAGCAGGTTTTTGAGTACTAGGAGGTTGAGGTTTAGGGGGTGAAGAAGGTTTTTGAATAGGTTGAGGTTGGGGGATTGATTGAGGTTGTAGTCTAGGGGGCGATGGTAATAGAGTAGTTGAAGGTTTGTGAATTTCTTGAGGCGTAGGTTTCTTAGCTGGAGGTGTAGGTGAAGATGGCTTCGCAGGATTTACCAATCGCGGGGGAGATGGTGGATCTATTCTTGGAGGAGATGGAAGCGTCTCCTCCAAACTTCGTTTTGGGCGACCAGATCGTGGTGGTGACATTAATGTTGGTCTATTTAAAAACCCTACATTATCTAGAGGAGATGCTTCGAGCACTTCGCTTTGATGTTGCAAAGTGGAGATTAAAAAATTAAGTAAATCTTCAGGTTTATTGTGAGAACCTCTTGGGACAGGGACCCTTATGACTTTAGCCTTTCCTTGAAAGTCAGTACAGTGAATATCAATCCACTGCTCTTCAAGTGTACCAATAGTTGAGGGCCATGAATAAGGATATGAAATACTGTGTAATCCACAAACCCAGTCTCCCGAAAAATAAATTGGTTTCGGGAGATGAACTCGAAACTTATTTGGCTGATTATCTGGATAATCAGTTGTATTACTTAGCAAACACACGTAAAAACTGTTAGACATTTTTATAGCAAATAAATATATACAATATGAAAAATGACTTTTATACTAATTGATTCTCGTGTATCCATTCTCTCTCCGGGTATCCAATAAATTTTACAAGTACTTCATAGGCACCATCTGGTCGTTTCCTTTTACGGTAAACCTTTTCAACCCTATACTCTGTCCCTGCATCTTTTTTGACTTTGGTAAGTTCTTCGCTGTAATAAGATCCCTTGTATTTATTATCGTTGTCATCCTTTAACTTATAACGAATTGGTCTAGATTGATCTTTGACTCTGTCGACTTCCACTATGACATCACCCCAATTTGGGATATACCCCTTTTCAAATGTTCCTTTATTAACACTCGTACGTACAAAATCTCCTTTTTTAAATTTAGTTTTTGTCTTTTTAATTTTTGTAGACAATTCATCTCCATAAATCCTCTCCCACACCTCTTGAGCATTTTTAAAGTTAACGTCAATAGGTCTCATTCCATGAATCCTACACTTTGCCTTATTTATTCCTTCCAAAATTTCAGGTAAGATCTCAACCCAGTTAAGTGTTTTGTAGTGGGCAAAATATCTATATAATCGTTGTTTGACATTTCTAATTGCCCGCTCCGCAAGCGAAGCTTTAACTATTGAATGGGTAGCTTCAAACTTTTCAATTTCTTCTTTTTCAAAAAATTCTTTTAGTTGTTTATTTTTAAATTCTAACCCTTTATCAGAAAATATTCTATGTGGCTTCATGGGCATTTGGTCAATTAAATATTTAAAAGCTTCTAACATATCTTCGGTTTTCTTTGATTTGACAGGAACCCCAAAAACTCTTTTTGAAAGTACATCAATCCCCAATAATAAATATTTATTTCCTTTATTGTGTCTTGACAATGTTTGTAAATCCGCCAAATCAACTTGAACATCTGTCATAAACCCGGCAGCAACAGTTTTACTTCGTGGATAATGTATTCTCTTGGGACGCATAAGTGTATACGTCCGATGTCCCTCAAGAAAATCTTGTACAACGCTTCTAGGTAAATTTTTAAGAACTTTGCGGGCTTCGTGCCATAATCTGTCAACTCCAGAAAATGCTGCAGGGGAATCGGGGTCATTATAGAGATGTTTCAAAAGTTTTGTATAATCCGCCATTTTTACCAAAGTGAGGGTTTAAATCTATTTATATCTTCCTGTGTAGGCTTTTTTGACGCCCATTTTTTACTGATTGTCCGACCTTTTACTTTACGTAAACTTATATCCTCTTGAGTTGGTTTTCTCGATGCCCATTTTTTAGTCCTTTCTTTGCGTCCTCTTAAAATATTTAATTTTTCTGACCAAGCTTTTGATAATTGTTCCGATTTTTTCTTCGAGGCTGGTTTTATTCTTTTGAGATGAACCGCACTAGTGTCTTCAGGGATTACATATTTCCTTTTAGAACGCTCTCGCGGCAATGGAGGAGACGGGGATCTACCTTCTCTCAATATTCTATGACGACGACGAGATCTTTTAGCTCTATCTAAAACTTCTGCCTCCTCATCTCGACGTATTTGTTGAATTACACTATGATCAAGAGGGACTTTAACATTTTGGGATTTTTTTCTTCTCCTTAATAACTCTTTCTTCTTTTGAATCTGAGCAATTTGTTCTCTTAACCTAAGTTCTCTATCTTCATATGTATTTTTACTCCTCTTATTACCTTCAAAATCTTCGGATACCTGGTCCCTTTTTGAAGCTTGGAGCGATACAGGAGGAGAATCGCTTAAAGGAGCATTTTGTGCATCGAGTATGGGATCTTGTGTAATATTAGACTCTACAGCTGATGTTGAGGGTAAAGGGCGGTTCACTGTTACTTTTTTCTTTTGTTTCTTTTTAATCGGAATTTTTGATTTTTTAATTTTCTTAATTATTTTTATTCTTTTTGGTTCATCACCATTATCTTGTTCTTTCCTTTTTGTAATTTGGCGTTGACTTTTTACAGTGCTGCTTCTAGGTAGAGAAGGGGGTATTGATGGATGGTAGGAAGATTCAGAAAGAGGAGGTACAAAATTATAAGCGAGACTAGGAGGTTCTCTAGGATAATTAGAAAATGAAACGTCATCGCTCATCCAAAAATCATCGTCATTTTCGGCTATATTTGTTGAGGGATGAGTTTGGTCTCTATTCATAATAGCACCCTTAGGTGAAGCAACCATTTCAACCCTAACAGGACGATTTTGACTTTCATTACGTAGATGAAGATATCGTCTTAATTCTTGATTGTAATGAATATTTTTTGCACTTGGGTGTTCCTTTACTCTTCGAGTTTTATCAAGTGTTCGTCGGACATCATCTAGATTTGGTTCTCCTGTATCAAAAGTAGTAAGACCACGATAAATTTCTTGAGGAACAAGGATAAATTTGTTAGCCATAATTTATTAATAATAAGAATTTTGATTAATTCGCGCTTTTTATAGAGCGCGCCAGTTCAATGAGTATTGGGGTAAGAAGGGCGGTAAGAAGGCGGTAATTGGGGTAAGAAGGCCCCTCTTGCTTCGAGCCCTACTTACGCCACGGACAAAGCAGGCATAAGGCATTAAGCGTTTCTTTTGACGAGTCGTCAATTGAAATCGTGATTTAACAATATTTAGACAAATTTCTACAAGTGCTAAAAGTTGTGAAGTACTAGCAAGTCGTAAAAGTCGACGTATTTTTCTTTGAGATTTTGTATGACATAAAAAATTTAGAAAATTTGAATTCTCTCGTATTAAATGACTAACCATTTTAAATTCCACTTTTTGGAGTAAAAACAATTTTTTCCTCGTCGTCCTTAAATATCCCTGTCCTCAGCCTTAGTATTGCATCAGATGCGGCGTGCATATCGATTAATAAGTAGCCGTAAGGTTGATTAGTCGATTGCCGATATGCATCGAGAAAATAGTCTAATTTACTCGGGAAGAGTTGTACTCCTATATTCCTAACTGCAAGTGCAGAATTTGGGGAGCGCATTAAGATAATGTATTGCGCATTTTGTCGGGCAACTTTGATTTTACGATCAAATAAATTTTGAGTTACAAATACG